CTTCTCAGCTATTCATTTATGAAAAGTGTAGCACCTCTTATGAAAAGTCTACACCTCCCTCCCACTCTTAGGACAGCAGCACCCATGTTCTTTGTAACAAGGAGGACTAATTAAGGAATGTTTCCTCTGTGGATTAAAGTGCTCTATTCAGCTGCTGCAGTGGTAGTCCAAGCGGCCTCTTGCTTTGGAGTAATTAAGGTTTGTGACATCGTCTGTCGGGATTGGATGAAAGAGTCAGTACAACTCCCTATATGCCATTAGTTTTATTTTGTTTTGTTTTCAAGGTAAATTTAGTTAGTAGATGTGAACTTCTTAGGTTGATAGAGAATTAAGGTAATTCATTTTACATGAACCTTAACCAATGTTCTAGGTGGAATGTATCACATGACCTTCTACCTGGTCACTCCCATGAATTGTTTTGCCTCACTTTGTTTGAGATCATGAAAGTCTAGATTAAAAAAAACTATGAGTACTTACAGTGTCTGGTCAGATAGACATTCTCAAGTTCCAGGAAGGGGGGCAGGGAGGGCAGTGATGAAGAAAAACAGGGACAATAACTACTGATAGGACCAAAAAAGGGAAAAATGAATTCCTAAGGAAGCCCAGTAATTCTCAGGAGGCATGACATTGTTGATGAACTGGAATATTCTAAATGCTACAGTGACAGGCATTGCTTTATTCCTTTCCCATCAAGTGCTCTCATCTAAATCTATTCAGAGTAGGTGTCGGTGACATACTCACCCCAGTCACCACCTTGTCTCTCCTCCTTGCTTCTGTCCTCTGTCTTTCTTTTTTCTTTTCCTTCCCTGTCCTCATTTTCTCTCCTTCTCTTTCCCTTCTCTTTCTCTTATTTCCTCCCTTCTCTCTGGAGGAGGTACTGTTTGTTCTACTTTTTCTTTTTTTTAGAGAATTATTTAATTTTATTATTATTATTATCATTATCATTATTATTTTCTAGTTTTGGTCAGAAAGAGAGAAAGAGAGAAAGAGAGAAAAAAAGTGAGAAAGCAAGCCACCAGTTTCAGGACTTGAACCAGTCAGCCATGGTGGAGTCCAGTGCCTTTAACCACCATGCCACCTGCCAGCCTCAGTTCTAAGTACTAAAAAGGGTGTCATTCAACAACCTACAGGGTCTGTTGTTAACCCCATACTAATAACTGACACATACCAGTAAAGTAACTGGCATTAAATGGTTAAATGGTCTCCCAAGGTGACTCAGGCAGGGTTGGGAGGATTTGAGGGACTCTGATCATGTCAGTCCTTACCCAAAGGCCTTTACTGATTTCCTGTTGCCTAGAACAAACAAATAAAACCTGATTCTTTAATATGATAGACAGCCCTCTACAGTAAATGGCCCCAAGATAGTCCTTCAACCTTATTTAACTTTCACTCCCCTGCAGCAGACCTATATAGCATCATCAGAATACACTCTTGCATGCATCTGAACTTTGACACACACAGGACACATGCTAGTTACGTAACACTGTTTGTGTATCAAATACTTTCTTGCCTAAAACTCTTACTCATCATTCTAAACCCACACTACCTCTCCTGTGAAGCCTCTCCTGATGCTCACACTCACCATTAGTTATTCTCCCCTCTAAATGCCCTGTTTCCATTATAGCTCTAATTACATTGTACTGGTGTGTTTATACATTTCTTCTACCCAATAGACTCTGAAGACCCAAAGAGAAGGAATGGGGCTTTGCCCACTAGCAAACCTGGCACTTGCTGTGTAGTTCATGTTTACCATAATGAAGATACATGGCATCATTGGGAAAGTCATGACACAGTTTTGCAAAGAAAAACAGAAAAAGGACCAGTGGATGGTGTAATGGTTATGTCACTAGACTCCCACTTAGTTGACTGCTGTTTGAGTCCCGGACCTAGTGACTTTAAACTCACATTGGACATATGTGTGTGCGTGCCCAAAGTCCCAAGAGGAGACTGGAGGAGAAGTGATTGTGGCGTGGCCATTCCCTTCCTCCCCCGGGGTGATTCCTTGCTTTCTGCTATCTGTCTCTCTCTGTCGCTCCAGTGTGCGCATGTGTCCCATAACAAAATTTTCTCTAAAAACAGAAAATGAAAAACAGAAAAATATGGTATGACCTTCCCGATGACCTAATATTTTATATCAGAATGACCTTAAACATAAAAGTATTAGAGCTATCCATCTATACTGACTTAAATAAATATTTCATATGGAAATCAGACTTTATAAAATCTAGAATTGATTTGCAAAAGTGATGTCATTGAGTTCCTTTAAACCCAGAGCTCTCCTAGTGATTTAAATAAATGCTTCAATATAGGAAAATGCGACATACATGTACTATATTTCTGTTATATAAAGTGAAAATGAAATTTATTTTCTCTACCTCTTCTCTCGTTCTCCTTCACAGCGTACTCACAGACATACACACTCAGACGACATGGCAAACTACTTCATGACTACCTTTAGATTTTTTTCATGAATACAATCATGGTATAAAGAATCTTTTTCATCTGCAGTTGATATACATTTATGAGGAACAGGTGTTCTATTGGTAATATAAATTTAGGAGCTTAATATATCATGTTTCAGGAATTATCAATATTATTTCATTATGTACATTTATCCAAAATTAAATTACATAAGTATTTGTGTACACACACGTAGGCAGATGAGTCAAAAAAAAATACTTTCTACAATTTTGTATATGTTAAAAATCACAGTTTTTTTTTTCTTTTTTTCAGTTCATTGTAATTCAAGAACATGCCTGTAGAAAATGTTATTGGGCTGTCAAACTAAAAATAATAATGTACAGGGACCAGCAGTTAGTGTAATGGCTATGTTGCTGGACTCCCATTGTAGTCGACCCAGTGGCTTAAACTCACGCTGGGCGCATGTGCGTGTGTGCCCAAGATCCTGAGAGGAGAATGGAGGAGAAAGGATTGCGCATGGCCATCCCCCTGGGGGGGGTGATTTCTCACTTTCTGTCTCTCTGTCTCTGTCTGCAGAGCACATGCGCCCTTATAGCAAAAACCTCTCAAAAAAATAAAAATAATGTACATATGCATACATACATACATGGGTATATGTGTGTGAGTAGTCACTGTATATATACTTCATTGCACTACACACACACACTTGTATTTACACACAGATTCTAAATTTTACACATACTATATGTATAGCGTGTGTGTATGTGTGTGTGTATTGCTATATGGACTGCATGACCCATTGCAGCCCACTGTTTATCTATAGTTTCCTTATCCATTGAGGCCAGCTGATGAGACACTGATATTTACACACATACAAAGAGTAAGAGTCCATATTTATACACACGCCGTAAATACAGTTTATATAAACACACGCACTAGATGACCCATTACAGCTCACTATTTATCTATTTTTCGCTCATGCCTGGAGGGCAGCTGATGCCTTTCAGATGAGACTGAATGGTACACCTGAGCCAGAGAGCAATAAAGCAGCTACCCAACCGCAAATGCTCTTAGCCAGTGAGTGCTCTGTCATGCAATCCTGTGTTGAGTGTGTTCTATAAATCATGTTGTTTACTCTGCTGGGATCTCTCTTGTCATTTATTTTGTGCTCTGGTGAACAATTTTGAGTCATAATGACTGACAAATTGGGCAAGCAATAGTGCTGGCTCTGTCATAAAGAAACACAAAAAAGAGTGTTCAGCGAGAAGTTAAAGTACGTGTTTTTTTTTTCCTATGCCTTGTGGCTTTTTTTCAAGGAAATCCAAATGGTGCTAAAGATTAGCAGGTGATTTTGATATAATGAGGGGTATTAGAAGCATCCCTCAATCTGGGAGAATGGACCTGGTGTTGTCAGGTATGTCAGGGCTAAGGGATTTGGACAGAAGTGTGATTGACAGCACCATACCTCCAGAGGTATTTTGTTAAAATGACCCCTAAAAACGTTGATCCATTAAATGCTCCTGGGCTGCTGTTTTCCCAGCCCTCTCCCCAACCCCTGCTCTCCAATTAAACAAGGTGTGGTGATAGGTTGCTCTGTATTCATTTTACTTGTTTATCCTATCTTTGTTTCAAATAAGAGCATACTACATTTGCTGTTGTTAGATGTGTGTGTATGTATATATGTATGTGTGCATATATATACATACATATAAAATGTGTGTGTGTGTGTGTATATATATATATATGTATATATATATATAGCCTTGCTTTAATTTTTTTTTCTGGGGTGAGAAAGATAATCATGACTTTTATTTATTTATTTATTTTCTCATTTGAAGTATTTTTGCCTGGTAGAACTGTAGGCTGAAGTCGCTGTACATCAGAATCAGACTTCCGGGGACTGGAAACAGCACCGATCGTTTGAAAGATTTTCTGGATGATTCTAATGTACAGCTAAGCTTGAGAATCGCTAATCAGTACAAGATATACATCTTCTAGTCATCTAAGGAGTTGGTATTTCACTTGGAATGCTTATATGAAAAGTTTCCCCAGATGACTGGTTGTTTTACATTATTCCTCCTCTCCCAATGGAGAATTGCTTGTCAAATGAATTCAGGTGATGTAAGTGATAATTTGGCCCAGAATTCTCAAGTAACTAGAAGGGATATTCTATAAGAACTGTGAGACTTGTTGCTCCTTCTGAGAATAAATATTTATCCAGATACATGGAATTACTTTCTCTGCACCACTGTTTCATTTCCCTTGAATGTTTAAGATTGTTTTTTTGAGGAGATTAAAGGTGATTCACCTAAATCCCGGATATCGCTGAACTTGACTAGGAGAAGAGGGGGCAGGGATCCAGGCAGAGAAATCAGGAAGTTTAGGGACTATAAATTTAGGACAGCTTCTCCGCTGGGCCGTGGGGAGTAGGGGCTTGTACATAGGAACCTTCATTAATGATTAACCACAGAGTCGGAACTGATGCCAGATAAAGGAAACTGAAGCCCAGCTCCTGTGTGAAGCTTTTGCACTGGTCTCTGTTCCACAGTCATACAGAAAATGTTTGTTTTTCTCCGTAGGTTAGAACCAGTATCCTACCTGAACATAAGGATCCCCCGCCAGAAGTTGGGGTAAGTGTTTCTTACGTCTCCAAAAGACATACACATGCTTCTAAGTTAATCATTTGGATTTTTTCTGGCCTCCTGTCTGGGAGCTGGCAAATAAAATGGAGTAGTTAAATGAACAGGGTGTGACTATTTGAGGGGTTACTGTCACATATTTCCTGAATTGCATAGAATTCATTCCTCCTCGTCATGGTCTCCTGAAAAATCATCCTCAAATGAATCCATATTTAGTTCAGCTAGCTAGAGAGGAGCCTAGAAACTGCCCTGCAGGTAGCTGAAATACAAGTCAGAGGCATCATTCCTGGATGACCAGGAGGCGGGGGAAATTACAGACGTGAGCTGCACCACTGCTTTCTGCTTCTTGCTGCTTAAACACAGCAACACAGGGCAAAGGGGAGGCTGCCACCATGTTCTGTCCACTTGGAAAACCCTGCTGCGATTTTCCTGCTGCATCTGAGCCTGGTGTCTCCAGACTTCAGAAGTTGGCAGAGAGAGCAAGTACTGGGTGCTTTCTGCTCAGACCAGGCTAGAGTAGGCTGTGGTGATTCCCAAAAGATACAGCCTGGGGGCTGAGTCTCTGGGATCTGTGTGTTCAGAGAAGAGGAAAAAAGCCCAGAGGTGAGTTGAGTCTAAGAGGCTCTGGGACTGAACCAACAGAAAGGCCCATTTGAAAGACCTGGAGGTCCTACAGGCACTTGACTACCTTCTTCCAGTTAGTGCGTGGAGCACTGAGGGGCTATTCCTATTCTCCTGAAAGCAGCCACTTCCCAAACCTGCAAGGGGTCACTCCAAAAATACACACCAGAACATCATCTGGGGTGACTGAGTAGGTGGCTCTAGTCCATTATCTGTCTATCTGGTACTGAAGGAGAGTCAATGGACACGCATACTTGCTGTCTCATGCCTCAAACGAGCTTCCAGTCTCTTTGTGGAGACAGGTTAAATAACTCCCTTGGCTCAAGTGAATCGTTGTGCTTTGTTTTCTGCCTGCCCTTTCAACCTCTGTGCTCTCTCATGTCCCCATCAATCTCTGTGTTCAGACCACATGGGCCTTTACTTTGCTCCTTCAAAGGGTCCAAGAAGTTCTTCCTAACCTTGGGCCTTCGTAGCTGACCCCAATCACTACAGGTGCCCTCCTTCAAACTAGATCCCTGTCCTCATACACACACGCTTCTCACAACTGTATACCTTTATGAAACACAAGACCTTTGGAAATGTGTGGCTATTAATATGACTAATATGTTGTTTTATGAAGCATTCCAATTATTTATTGAGATTCAAGGAAGGTGAGCAGGTTTAATTTTTTTTTTTTTTTATCCTAATGGTCCATTTTTACTTCCCAAATGCTCTTGTGTTGAATCCCCCTTGCTGGAAGATTTAATGATATTTTGGCTTAATTATGTAAATTTCTTTTTTTCCTCTCAGCTAAGTTCTTGGGAATCTGTCTTCTTCATTTAATTGTTTTGTTTCAGTCTTTCATATGGTTTACTTTCTCTCTTCAACCATGATAATATGCTATCCAAATTTTGTCTTAACTGCTGGGTCTGTAAACACAGGCTTATCCATCCCGCTGATAGGCAAGGCAAATGCCACCTCTTGAAATGGTCCCACCATGGGCCCTGTGGTCATCCAACCCAAGTCGCCCCCTTGCCTGGCTTTATCCTCACCATATTGTGGGGCCACTTCATTGAATCTCATTCCAGACTTTAACTTTTCCATGGCTGCCAAAATGTTGCCATGTTTTTCACATAGAATGTGTCCCATCTTTATTGCATTGCCACCACCTTTGGGACCCTAATCCTTCTTGTCAGCACTGTCACTCCCAGATGCTCCTCCCCTTTTACCTCCTTTTTCAGAACCACTTTCTCCTTTGGGCAGCATCTTCAAGACCTGTTGATGAACATCCAACTGCTCTGGTGTCATACACATCCCCTCCACCCCCATCTTCTTCATTTTAAACCCAGAGTTCCAGAGTTTCCTCTCTGATTTTATACTCTTCCACCCCTCCTCCCACCAAGTCCTGCTACCAGCTGGGCTTCCTGTGACTCTAGACCATGCAGTAAGGGGGCAGTAGAGTCTACTCTCACACGTCCTGTTCTTTTCTGTTCTTATGCTCAACTGCTAAGATAAGGAGGAAGGAAGGGGAGACAGAGGTTCCTCCTGGGTTTGCCCATGAGGGTGAGGTCTCTTTCTACTGATTTGGTGCTTCTCAGGCTAATGCTGCATTTCAAAGGCCTCTCTGTGGTAGTTGCTGAAATGCTGACTCTCCTAGGGACACAAGTGTGGATATTACTGGGGGCCTTGTTGGGTCCTTCTTACTGCAAGTTTCTGTACCACGGGGTCTGGTCGTGGGCCAACCCCCTCCACTACCCACCCGCACACCGCCAGTCTTGCTGCTGAGACCCACTTAATCTTGCAGCTCTAAGTTAGCCTCTTTCCACACTGTCCCTTTGACTCATGTGAGACTCACGTGTTTGCCATGGCAATAGAAGAGACACTGCTTGTCCCACTGGTGTCTCCTTTCTGAGCTTGGTGGTATCCCTGCTAACTCTGTCTGCAAGCTGAGGAACATCACTACTACACAGGCGATGGCTCTCAAAGGAGAGACAGTTTCCAGACCCCAGTGGAGGTCAAGGTGGTTTGGACATTTCTAAGCTTTCTAAGTGATATTTTTGGGACTAGATGCTCTTGGCATTGGCTTTGACTTTAGACATAGAAGGGTCCCCCTAGGAGATGACAAAGAGATTAGCTACATGTCCTAAATAGTGTACTCTGACATGCTGACCTTCCCTTCCTTCTAGTCCTACCCTCATATCAACTGGACACGTTGTGGCTACACACAGACCAGTGTCTCTAACCTTGCCCCTCCCTAGGCATCATGACAAGATGGTTGGCCCCAAATATTGGAGGGACTCTGAACTTATAATAGGGTATATTGTGTCCTCATCTTTGACAAAGACCCAACTTTGATTCCTGAACCAAAACCAAAAAACTCAGTTGACATTCTGTGACGTGCCTCTTGTATCTAGGAGTACTGTATTTGGTGACAAGTAACTTGACACCTGACAAATTGTGACTTTAACAGGTTTTTTTTTTTTTTTTTTTTTTTAATAATACTATAAGAATTGGGAAAATTGTCCAGGGATATGATATTTTTTTTTGAGAGATTTTTTGCTATAGAGCGCCTGCGCTAGCCAGAAAGAGCAAGACAGAGAGAGACAGAGAGACAGAAAGCGAGAAATCACCCCCCAGGGGAGGATGGCCACACCGCAATCCCTTCTCCTCCATTCTCCTCTTGGGTTCTTGGGCACGCACGCGCATGCGCCCAGAGTGAGTTTAAGCCACTGGGTCCGGGACTTGAACCACAGTCGACTACATGGGAGTCCAGCGACATAGCCATTACACTCACTGCTGGTTCTCAGGGACATGATATTCTAAAATGACTTTAGGCAACCAGTCTCTATCTACCCTTCTGCTCCTTGTTTATTAGAGTATTGTCCAATCTGGCCACTGCATCTTCAGGAGAAGAATAAAGGGCAGAAGTTCAGATCAGTTGACCCTGTTCTTTCAATTCTGGAAAACATTAACTTTCTGGAAAACATCAGTTGGTATCCTGCCACTTGTATGTCACTAGGAAAGCTGAACCTCTAGTTAGAAGAGACTGTGTACAATTCCCATTGAAACTCGATCAAGGCTACCAGCAATTTGGAGTAGGCAGAGCAGGTGTTAAGTAGGCAATTAATCATGTCTCCACATTTTTCCTAGATGCTATGATCCATGAGGACCAATGTCTCGAGTATTTTGTTCACTCTACTATCCTATACTTTGGTAAATTTCTAATTAGAAAATGTGTGTAGCCAGCAGGTGGCATGGTAGTTAGGCACTGGATCCTACAGGGCTGACTCTGGTTCAAGTCCCAGACTGGATGGCTTGTAAAAATATAGTGTGTGTGTGTGTGTGTGTGTGTGTGTGTATCCCCTAAATCCCTAGAGGAGAATGGAGGAGAAGGGATTTTGGTGTGGTCATCCCCCTCAGAGAATGAGTTCTCTCTTTTCTTCTCTTTCTTTCTCTCATTCTCTTGTGAAAGCATGTGCCCTATAGCAAAATTTTAAAAAGAAAAATTAAGAAAATGTGCCATGTATGTATTGCATGAATCAGGAAGCATATTCTTATTTTATTTTATTTTATTAATTTATTGCCAACCATTCTATTTTTTGGAACCACGGGGGGCGGGGGGTGGGGGACAGTGGCGTTGTGTGGAAGTAGTCTGGAAATGTTTGAGATAATGTTAAAATCTAGCACATGTTATAAAGCTCTCAGAGTGCATGTTTTTCTGCACAAGGAGGAGTTAATATATGTTGATTACTGTTGGCTAATATATCCTAGCAATTAACCCTTTCAAAACATGTCAATACTTCTACAGTACCCAAATTTGCTTTTGAACACAGCAAAAGGCATCAGAGTATAAGCTCTTGACCAGTGACATAGGCCAAGTAGTGGCCCTGTCTTTACAACATGCTGAGAACTCTAGTCTTGCATGGACCAGCCCTTAGTGTGGTAGTTAGAGCAGCTGGCACCAAGCATAGCTGACTCCATGGTTCAAGTCCCAGACTCAGCAGCTTGATAAAACAGTCTGGATGGATTTGTGTGTATACCCAAAATCCACAAATTCTGGAGAGATGGAAAAGGGGTTGCAGCATTACCATACTCCATGAGAAAGTGAACACTCCCTCTGGAGGAAATGGAGGGGGAGAGGCAGAACTCTTCATTCAGCATGCTAATTTTAAAGAAAAATGAGCTGAAATTTTTCATTGGGAATGTTTTCAATAAATTACATCTATGTTTTGCATTCTGCAGTAGCATTAACTGGATGCATCAGAGTGTTTTCTTGACGTTTCAAAGAGACATCAATCTGTGCTCTTAGATCTTTTGAGGTATCTTCATAGAAAATATGTAATTTTATAATAAATGACTTTAAAGTGCTTTTTAATGTTTTCTTTGGGCTA